AGATTGCTTTATACTGAAGGTTTTAATGATGAAACTGTTTTTTTTTTTACTTCACAACCTAGTTTAACCGTGCCCTTTCAAAAGTTGATTCCAACCCTACGATCCCTCGGGACCCTGCATCGATGAAAATAGCCGGTACCACTTGTTTGTTTTAACGGTCTCTGGCTCCGAGTCTGGCTTTTACTGTGACATTGTCAGGTGCCCAACTGAACCTAACATAAAATACACCCTTCAAGATTATCCGCTCGCATATATCAACCGTACATACTTATTTCAAAATTATCTTTTCATATCTTTGTAAAAAAAACAAAAAAATAAAAACAGGTTGAGACTAAAAAAACTAAATGGATCAAGGGGATAAAATGATGGCTGTATACCGGGAAATAGGAACGATAGGATCCAGAGCTATGCAGATTTACGACCATACAAAAATGTTTGGTCGATAATAAATACCAACCGCATTGCGGGGGACAGTTGTCTGACCTGTGCGCACTTTTACGCTCTATATCCATTATTTATAACGGTTTGCGGCTGGATAGCTGTAATTAAGGTTATTTATATTTCATCATTGATCGGAAATGAATTAATTTAGATTTATATGAGGAATTATTTATACTAATCATTCAAATATAAATTAATTGACCTAACGATATATAAATCAAACGAGGAAAGATAACATCCCAAAGGATTATGCAGCATTGTGATTGATCTTATAAAATCGTACATAGGTTGTATGATTTATTACTACCGTGTTTACTTCTTAGATAATTATATTATAGTCCTAAATTTAGCTTGGGGATCCTTGGTTAAAATCAGCGTAATACCTTGAATTAACTAGAATGCAAATCTTTTTCTTTCACTGAACACACCAATAGGAGAACTCATAGGGCAATTTTATAGAATAATCATTTAGCAAATCTTCATATTTACATAAAAAATAAAATAAAAAAAGTTTACTAATCAGTCATCCAAATTCTTATGATTTATTCCTCAGCAGTTTGGAATTCAACTTTTGAAACTAATTGGCAAAAAAATTGAAAGGTTTCACTTTTTATACATGAGGATCATCAGTAAATACCATCATTGCACAATAATAACAAATAAGCTCCACGATTTGAGCTTTCTGCTATAAAAAAAACATTGTCCGAATAGAAAATAAATATTTGTAGAAAAAAATAACATATGTATTAAAGCCAAAAATTGATAATTGTCTTGAAAATAAATACTTCTTTCATCTAGGTTACTTGACTGACGTTCAACATTATCTTGAACTAACCCTTTATAAAGTTTTACTTAAACCAATTTGGACTTACGGCATAGAACTGTGGGTTTCTGGTAAAACTTCCAACATAAAAAAAATTCAGTCCTTGCAGTCAAAATTGTTCCAAAGGATAGTTGACGAACCGTTTTTTTGTCACAAATGATATACTTCATAAAAACTTAAACGTACCAACAATTTTAGACACTGTAAAGGAAAACTACAATAACCCAAGACTGACGTACAGCATGAATCCCCTGCCAGAAATCCTTTAACGTACAAGAAACCCCTACAGTCCACTACGAAGATTACGTTGGCATTGGCAAAGAGACCTGTTGGTCTGATTTATATACAGGATGTGATGGAACGCTGTGAAGCTGCCAAAAAGTTTGCTCATTGCAAAGAAATGTGCAGCTTGCAAATTTAATTTAATGATCAACATTTTTGTTTGCTTAATAAATAAAAACTGGAAGACTTTGTTGTCTGTAGACTCGGGAAGACTTGTAAATAGAGAGGATGAGATTGTGAATATTGCTGACTGTATCACTGTGTTTAATGTATTATATTTGTTCTGTACATATATCGAAGCACATTTACGATACGTCTGCAGATTTGACGTAGTATCATATGAATTTAGTTTATGTGTACAAATTTTGCTGAACCGTAGTTCTATTCCTCGATTCCTGAGAAGCTTTTCGTTTTATTTCTTGGCTGATGGTCAGTGTTCATGAGTCACATTGAACTCCATAACTAGATTATTATTAAATTTATTTGAATCGACATTCCCTTTGAGGTTTGGCCACCTCAGCACCGTACCAGAACGTGATGTGGTGCCCTGCGGTGTAAGCGTTTTTGTTTTGATTATGTCAACATTAAAGGTTGGTGGTTTGGCTTCGTAAGTTTGTCCTCGAAGGTGAATCGGTCCGTTAGTAGTATTCTGCCTCATGGTTTTTTTTAAAGCCTCAATTATTAGTCCGTGCTACAGACCTCTTTTTATCAAATCATTAACATCCGCCAATAACTTCGTGAATAGCCTAAATTCATCGAAACCTACAGATATTTTATTTTTGAAAATTCTCTGATTTGTGGCGTTTTCAATCTGGAGATCGGCAAATTTTGTCGATTTAATTTGCTACTAAAAACCCATGAATACTCCTTTGATAACCATTTCATCTTAAGATATTGTGATCACATAATCTAAAAAAAAGGTGACCTACAAAATATTGGACCATTCGGCGTGACTTTCACTTCCAAAATGTAAAAATAACAAGAGTAATGTAAAATGGACAAAACGGCACAATATTTTTGGAGGTCACCATTTTTTTCTCAATTTTATGAATACAATAACATACGATTCAAGTTAAAAGCGAATGGGTATTTATACGTTTTTAGTACCTAATTACATATTAGACAAAGTTTGCCGATTTCTAGATTGAAAACGCCCCAATTCCGAGAATTTTCATAAATATTTGTATGTTGTAATCAGATTAAGCTATTCACGAAGTTTTAGGCGTATGTAAATAATTCCCTAAAAGGGCTGCTGTATCCCTTGTAGGAAAAAGATATAAACGGTTTTGTACGTTACGATTCAGGGACTTCGATATTTTTTGTTGATATATAATTTTAACTGCCTGGCTACTATACAACTAATATAATGTTATTAAGGAGCTGTTTGGTCAGTGATCAGACTAACATCCTGACTAAATCCAATTTAATCTGTCTTTTTTTTTTTTTTCCTACGCCCTAGGAATTTCTTGGTTATAAATACAATATATATATAAATGTATATATACATAAATTTAAATGTATATATACATAAATCTTTATTTAATAGATATACTCTTGATTCTTGTTTATTTTCCTAATGTATCTAAAGTAATTTTGTTTTGCTTTTTTTTTACCCCACGGGTTAGCTTGTGTGAACAATAAAAGTTTAATCCGCGAATTTAATCTGTTATTCGCGGATTAAACTTTTATTGTTCACACAAGCTAACCCGTGGGGTAAAAAAAAGCAAAACAAAATTACTTTAGATACATTAGGAAAATAAACAAGAATCAAGAGTACATCTTTTAAATAAAGAGATAGCTTTTATACTAGCAAAGTAATTATACATGCATAATGACGTAATTTAGTGTAGCCTTAATCCATTAAGGAGTGTATTGACTCCTGACATATAAATTTAGGTTAAATTACCTTTAAACAGATTATTAAGTGACATTTTTCATATTATAACATAATCTTGTTAACTTACCAATTCCCCACTGCAATACTTTTAGTAGTGGCCTAAATAATAAATAAGATCAGAAATTGCCCAGTTTGGGGCAGTCACAATTTTCTAGAGGGCACATTTCCACGGGGTTGTGAAATTTTCAGGGAACTATATTTTTGTGGGGTTCCGATCGAAGAGAACTTTTAAATCAAGGAACATGGGAAAATTAAACTATAATTTATTGTTGAAATAAAACCAAAATTATATTTATTTTCTTTGTGCCGAAATATCGGCCTAGGTTTCAGGCCTTCATCAATGCTGCTTGTTCAATAGGATTCAATAAACGAGTAACGATGTATTTTAAATATGTTTTACAGTTTTTTTATAATTTTACTTTTATTAGTACCTTTTTTTAAGAAGAGATCTAATAGTTTTCTCGGAGAAAGAGAGACACCGCGCCATTGCCGTTGGGGAAGGGATGATGAACACTCCTGAATGAGATGAAAATAAATAGAGAAAATTTATTATTATTTATAAATCTTTACTACTCAATTAATTTTTAAAACTCGGAATCACGATTCTTGGAGACATTGGAGATGAATAAAGGGAACCCGATTTTAATATAGCAAGACAGGGAGCATTGTGGACTGGATGGAATAGAGTTCCTTTAGATGAAGCACGATTAATGAAGGATTTATCAAATGCGGTAGCTTTATAGGAAGTCAGGGCAATGGGAGCGAGTGAATTTAATGATTTGAACTGAATCACGATATCCTATTTGGTATTGGACTACAAGGAAGTCAACTCATTGAATCACTTTTATTATGGTTGATGTATTATTTCTTTTCAGTTCATATACATCATTAGATATTCATAAGATTCATTTTCGGGATCCCCAGACGTTCACATGTTTCACTATGGTACACCGAGTTGAAGTGGCTTTATCCTACTTCCCGACGACAATTCCTTCTTGGCAAATGATTTTCCTTTTCCAAGTCTTCAGAACTAAAAACCCTCCCTACATCCTGGAACTCCTTACTCTGCGCTCCTCTGTCAACTTTCTCAATACTAGGTCTCAACCTGTAGACTTATATATTCCCTCCCATAAAACTTCCTCCTTCAGCAAATCCTTCGTCATTCGTGCTGCTTCCTTATGGAACTCACTTCCTACCCCCATGCGTCAATCCTCATCCACAAATTCCTTCAAACAACTCCTGTTCCAACACCTACTCCACATTCAAACTTCCCCTAACATGTAAAATCACTTGCATCTATACAATGTTTAATTTCAATCCATTGTACAATTGAAATAAGAATTAACAATAAATTAGTTGGTATTTTTATTATGTCAGACTAAGATACATAAATTTGTAACTCTGTTATTATTCTTAGGGGACAGTAGTCCCAGAACAAAATTATTTTTTCATTTTCATTTCATAGATACATTTTTGTTGGTTGATACAATCGTATTAGTTGAATGAAATCATTAATAATTAAATGAATGAAGTTGAGAGCAAAACGTCATTCCTGATATGATGACCAGAGAACCGTGGCTGGCCGACACGAGAAACCCACTAACCCACTTTCTCCTAAAGCGCTTGGCCCACGCCTGTGTAACCTTTACGTAAGCCAGTCTCTTTTCCTTTTCCTCGGCTGGTCCGTTCTCTAGGTGTCTCCCTTCCAAATTACAGAGCGCTTTGCAATACACTGTGGCTAGGGATTAATACCTGTTGGAACATGGGCATAAGGATAAATTCAGAGTAGATTCTACACTAACAAATCCTATATCTGCTCTTTTCCAAATGGTGTTAGCTGAAATCACAAATTAGCTGTGTCTTCATATTATTTTTTCATTTTTTGATTTGGTCCATACGGTTTTTAGAGTGTTTTTTTTTTTTTTTTTGCAAATTTTAAATCTCTAATTATTGGGAAAGTTTTTACACTTACACCTTATTATTGTATATGTGTCCATCGAGCGAATGATCTTACTGGTTTTAGATTAAATTTATGACATGGCTCAGTTTCTTTAACTCCGCTAGCTCAGCTGTATGGTGGATTTATAAAAAATGACAGCTTTTATTTTGGTAATATTATGGTTAACACCTGATTACCTACTTCTGCCAAAAATACTGTTACGAAATTTGGACTTTGTTTACATCCTTGGGTATTCTAGGTATTGTAGGTAGCTCTATATTCTAGGTAGCTTATATTTTTCTTTCGCTCAGTTAACATGGAGTGGGGTGATAAAGAAAGCCGAATAGCTGTGATCGCCTTGCACAAAGCTGGAAAATGTAGGTCAGAGATTTTCAACACTTTGTTCCTGTACCGCACTATAAATAGATATAATGAGATCATATCTGACTGGGCCCCGCACTGTTAAGAACGGCTAATGCAGTGAGAGCAATGGCTGCTTGAATCAGAAAAAATCCCATTCGAAAACAACAAATCATGTCTCGGGAAATGGGAATCTCTGTCAGATCAATGTCTCGCATAATAAAAAGTGACCTTAGGATGGGTGCATTTCGAAGAATGACGGGACAAAGGCTAAAAACCACTTCCCTAAAAAAAAATTGGAGTGGATAGATGCAAAGTATTCCTTGGTCGTTACACCAAAATGGTATTCATCGAACGATTTTGTTTAGCGATGAGAAAATGCTTACAATTGAAGAAAAGTTTAATCACCAAATGATCGTTTGTACTCATACAGCTCAAAAGAAGCACAAAGCTCCATTTTTGTGAAAAAATAGTTAAAACAGCCGCTAAAAACTATGAGGACGATATTATGGAACCTGTTGTCAAGCCTCTAAATGATACTCTGTTTGCTGGAAGTCATTGGGTTATCCAGCTGGATTCCGCTTCAGTTTACAAGGCCAGGTCAACTCATCAGTAACTGCAAAAGAACATTCCAGAGTTCATCTCTGGCTCGGATTGGCCCTCAGGAAGACCTGATCTCGACCCACTAGATCATTGGCTTTGGTCCGAAGTGGAGAAGATGGCATGCCATGCCACAGAGCTCACCCTAACTTGGAAAGCCTCAAACAATCTCTAGTCCAAGCAGTTAAGAGCTTTCCTCAAGAAGTGCTGCGTGCTGCTATTGGTGACGCCACGGAGATTAAATGTTTGAGTCAAGGCATAAGGGAGCCATTTTGATTAATTTCTTTTTTGTTTTACTCTATAGATATACATTTTATTTTCTAATAATGTTTTTGAAAAATTTAATGTTTCTGTTGAAATCTGTATATATTTCCTTGTAACAATATTTATGACAGGACTAGGTATACTGTGAAGTTTCAGTTTAAAAAAAAAATATTACACTCAAGTACTTAATATCAATATTACATCATTACTTATTCAATAAATTTTGTTTACTCGAAACGATTACAATTGTTGTAGCCTTAAGTACCCGGTTTTATCTTATTAATTAGTTTCTTTGCACTGATCTAAAAAAAAATATGGATATCAAACAGCAGGTGATTTTCCATATTTTTACTCTTTTGTTATCGTTGAAATATCCATAATCTGGTGATAATGTCATTTATCAAATTGAAAAAAGAAATTATGACTGTCAGAACTAATATAATGCCGATCTGTATAGGTTTCAAAGACATTTATTAGAATCATTATCTTTGAAAGTATAAGAATGAATACGCTTAGAATTGTAAATTTGGCAGCTTTCATAGGTTTTAAGGTGGAACACGCTAGGACGTTGTTAGAAGACTACTACTATGTCAACACTAGAGTCCCATTAACTCCTCAATTGTATGAGAAAATATAGCCTTGTCCGTAACTTATCTTGTGCATTTTTAGCTACTTTAGCTCCTTTCCATGTCATAGAAGTCTTTTTTAAATAGTATATGTAGTTAACTTTCGGTTATTTTTTTTAAACTTTAAAATTAATATAAAAGAAAACGACCAAGATACCATCAAAATTAAAACTATCATTGAGGTCCGTAAGTAGCAATGATTAGTTTCTTTATTACTTGACAATATATTTTATGTTCTAATAGTAGATATACGTATTGCATTTTATTTATATAGTTGTAAATTTCAATGAATAAATAATTAATATATTTAATTTAATTTGCTTAATTAATTTTATAATTAAATTATATCCCATACGTCCCACGAATGCGCTGCGTTGTCCTATATTAGATAATTACTTAGTTGGTCTATTTAGACAGCGGGATCCATTATAACATGACTAATTGCTATACTGTCTCGTTGAAACATCACACCGTTATGCCTAGTTATAATTAATTTAAAATTTATGCTAAATTATTCGCATATTAATTTTTTAAATTTCTTCGATTGGTATATTATTTTTTTTTAAATTAGTGAAGCAATAAATCTCATACAGTGTTGTAGAGGATTCTTAATTCCATACCAACTTCAATAATATTTTACGTAGTTTCAATACTAAGCAGTTTATATCATGGGAGAGAGAAACACAAATATAGATTTGATATTTGTAATGTCTTTCTTAATTTTTGAAGTGAAAACGTCTTTAGATGCGTTTTGCACTTTTTAGTGGGGAGTGAATTAGATTGATTGATCCGTCAGAATTCCGAACTATTAACACTCGGAAAAAGTCGACTAATTGAAATGTTTTTCCATATGGATTCAAACATATCTCAGAAACTAAAAATCGAGTCTGCACAGTGTAAGCGAGGAAATTGTTCAATATTTTATCCTCTGTAATAGTCTATAATTCAAAATTGTATCTTAACGCGACGCCGTATTAGGGAAGCCAAAAGGAAAAAATAGTGTCTAAAACCAAATGATAACGAGGTTAGTTGAACATATGAATTAAAATATTTCAGATATTAAATCGGACTTGTATATTGTAAGCGAGGGAAATGTTCAGCATTTTCTTTGTAATGAGTTATTATTTATAATTTATATTTCACCTGGTTGATGTTTTCACTTATATTTCGTGGTCTAAAGCACACACCTTAGTTTTTACTATCTTTTTCTTATGTTTGTGATTTGGTATTATAATTTAATTTAATTAGTAACATTTAATAATTGCTTTAGCAACCTAATTGGAATGTCTCATACTGACTTGCACCTCGAATAATTAAAATCCTTGAATAATAGCTAAAATATTGAAGTTCTGTAAGAAAAAAAAATGGCTATAATACATAATTTCCCCACGTAAAATAAATAAATAAACAACATTTTAAAAATATTTATAATAATATCAATCACCTAAAATGTAATGGTGGATGATATTTATGAATTTAGCAATTATATTTTTTATCCAACACTGCCTATCAGTTATGAGCATATAATTAATTAATTGAATGCAGTAAATGTTATCGGACAAACAATCATTTTATTCATATCTTGGAACATTTGATTTAAATAAAATTAAAAAAATGGCGCCGAGGCTCTGTTCACCTGGTGCATCAGTTTCAAAGCCATGTCTTTGAATTATGAATGAGAAAAATAGCAGACTTTCTCAGAGTGAGAACTTTCTTTTTACATACGCCTAATATTTACATACGATTTTGTAAAAACTGAACAGTTTCTTTTCAATAACCTACTCAATAGTTAAGGTGACCGTTATATGTTTTTTTTTAAATAGCATTCAAATGTCTATTTCATAGAAATTTTATTTTCTCTCGAAGGAATGGATTTTTCTTGTGTCTCTTTGGTTAATAAGATTTGGTTAAAATCATAAAAGGTAAATAATGATAAATGAACATAATAGTAAGCTAAAGATTAAACATATTTTATATATATGCTATATTAGCAAAAATTATATTCAAATTTTAATTGGAGGTGGTTTTGTGACCCTTGCAATAAGCACGTGGTATTCACACGAAGCTTTAAAGGGTTAAAATAGGACTTTTTTACATTCACTTATCTATATACCTATATAAATTATATAGTAAGGATAAGTATTACAATCGTGAAAATTTTCGAATCTGAGTTTTCAACGGAAATACATGTTTCCAAGTCCCGCAAAATGGTGTGTGTGAACAGTCTAGTTAAAAAAAAAAACGAAAAGTCGTACTGAACCGAAATTGCATATTTAAGGCTTTTATATGCTTGGGATGTTACAGCAACCTTTTCGTCAAAATCGGCTTAGCGGAAGTGGCACTTTATATCATGTACTTAACACATTTGTACGATTTTCTGGAAAACGGCTCTAATGATTTTGATTAAATTCATTATATCAGTGTAAAATTAAGCAGTTTTTAATATTTAAATTTAATTTAATATTTAATATTTTAATAATATAATCTATGTTTTATTCTCATTGATGTTCTTTAAAAGATCTTAAATTGCTAATTTTTAATATTAGCTTCCCCTAAAGTACATTTAATTTTGTTATCATATAAAACAATTGACAATGTCGCATTCATCTTTAATATAAAATATGAAAGAATTTGATAATTAGCTAAAGGAGAAATAACAAATCATAAGGAAGAACAGTTGTAATGGAGGAATACGAGCCCACCCGAGCTCGGGTTAGATTAGAACACGCTTCCATACATTACATGGGCTTAATATAATAAGGACTCCGACAATATTATAGAAATATGCATATGTGGTTTTCATAAATGCTATTGTTGCTATTATTTAATTGTATATATTACAGTAAATTAAATATCAAAATTTTTATTTATAAGGATATTTATACAAATAAAATACTCACAATGAAATATAGCGTTTAAAATTTTTACTTTCACTTTCCTTTTGTCTGAAAATAATTATTTCTGCTAAGAAAAGGGTGGTAAGTAAAAGTTCTGTGATAGCATACCGCACAAGATTTTTATTTTTTTAATATACCATATTTTTGTTATAGATAATGTTATATCAAAACCAAAAAAAAGTAATACAATTATAGCTATCTAAGAAGTATACACAGATGAATTATAACTGCCTTCCAAATTATACTACAATGAATAACACCTTCTATCCAATAGGCCGAATTCAGATCTGTCATTTGTCAAAGTCAAGGCAAGTGGAGTTAATAACCTCATCTGTTATGTAGGATGTAATGGTTGGTGGAGTATCTAACGGTGTGAAAAATAAACTATGCCATCCTAAACTCTTGAGGACTACTTATTTTTCACTAAATACAATTCTCTTATTTATTTTAAATTTTGGTATTAATATTTTCGAAAATTATGTTTGATTTTGATTTATTTTATAACTAGAGTTTGGGAAATGATGTCGACATCTTCAGGCTCCGAAAAGATTGTTTTTTTTAACGTAAGCCCAACGAAATATTCAATGTTTTAAAATTAATTGCTTGTTGGTCAAATAAATCAGCCTTTTTTTATTCTAACCCGACGTTTTGGTCTGAGTTTTAGGAATTTATTAGGGTCAAGGAAAAATAAGATAAAAACAATATGTGAGGGACTGTTTGACGAAAATAACATTATACAAGTAATAACATAATATTATAAAGAAATACTGTTAAGGTATAAATAATTTAATTTGAGCTCTGAATCTCGTTTTCTGTTTATCCAATTTCGACATTCGTTAGAAAGTGGAGACTTTCTTTTTGCATTATCTTTAAAGGTCTGTGTATGAAAACGTGATTACAAAATACAAAAAAATGATTTTCATTTTGCCAATAACTATGGTTCTAAAAAAAGGTAGGAACAAGCAAATCAAGCAAGTAGTTTAAGATTTTTTTGAGAATTGTAAGACAATATTTAAAAAAATAAATATAAAATTTATATAACCTGATTCTTTCCTCATGTTACATATTTTAATATTAATTACTTGTAAATTATTTTCGTTTAATTAAAAAACTAATTACCGTATTATAAACTTATTCAAATATCAATACTATTCGTTTGAATTTTACATGCCTATTTGCTTCGTTAAGCCTTTCTTTTATATATTTTAGCTGAATGGTGACGACGATGGGTAAATTCTCTTAGGTAATTTAAGTCATCTTAAGTAATTTGCCAGGTTTATTTTGCTACCTTCTGTACGATTT